TCTCATAAGCAAGAAGCATCTTAAAGAAAAACCAGGTGTGTTGTATTAAAAACAAGCTGCAAATGCTTTAACACTTCTTCAGTTGAGGTTTTTTGTTTTTGTTTTGTTTTGTTTTTTGGTACTAGGGATTGAATCCAGGGGTGCTTTAACTACTGAACCACATCCCCACCCAGGCTTTTTTTTTTTTTTTTAAATATAGAGATAGGGAGGGTCTTGCTGATTTGCTTAGGGACTCCATAAGTCTCTGAGGCTGGTTTTGAATTCTCAATCTTCCTGCATCAGCCTCCTGAGCCCCCTGGGTTTACAGGTGTGCTTTGGTTAAATTCTCCAATAGGGCTGGCCTTCGACTGCTTTAATTGAGCAGATAGAATGATACCTTACCAGTTCCAGGCCTCGCCTCGGAAAGGAGTGGCAGCTTTCGCACTGGAGCCCTGAGCCTGCTGCAGCCAAGTGTTGAGATGCACTGAGACTCTAGAGAGGGAGATGCATTCTGCCGACTTCAGACTTCCAGCTGTCCCTGCCAAGGTGCCAGGAGGCAAGCTCAGCGGCAGCTGAAATCCACTAGCAACCCCAGTGGAAGTGACAAGGAGCAGAAGACTTGCCCAAATTCCTGACCCATAATATGGTGAGATATGATAAAATGTTTTGAACTGCTAAGTTTGGGGATAGTTTGTCATCAAAGAGATATGGGGTAGCAAATTAACCATTTGCCTGATCCTGGCCATGGATTAAAATTAAAAAAAGGAATAACTATGGGCAAAAGAGAATGCGATCCCAAGTAACCCTGGCCAGACTTTGACTTTGTCCAGTTCCGAGTGCCTGTCTCGGGGCTCTGCCAGTTCTTTCATGTCTTCACGTTTGTTATGCAGCAATAGAAAGCAGAACCACTGGGAGAATAAGAAACCTCCAGATCTAAATAGAAATGAGGCTTTTCAGAAAATCACCTTTGGGTTTCTTGAATTGGGATCATCCTTTGAGAATTATTTGAGATGATGAGCTGAAGGCCTGACACCAGCTTTGCAGCTGAAGGCATATAAAACAAAGCTGCCTTATGAGTGATCTTTGCAGCTTTTCCAGGTATCTAATTACCCCTCACTCTGGAATAGTTGTTAAAAGAGTTTTATCTTTTTACAGCCTCCTTCCCCAGACATCTTTTAACTCCAAGTTGGATCTGTACTAAGGCCTTTTTATGGTCTGACTCTGTCATCGTCTTTAACGTGACTGTTAATTTCACAAGGAACAGTATTGAAGCCCCTCCCAGACTCCAGCTCTCTCTTCTGTCTCCTCTTGGACTTAGAGCAACCTTGTGACTTATGGCATTCAAAAAAATCCATTTTAGTTTTTCATTTTTAATAATGGTCAGCTATTCATATATTTTGGGAAAAAGTTCATTCATTTTAGAGGTATATGGCCTTAGCATTAAAAAAAATTATTTTACGGATAAAGCTGGACAGGGGTCAAAATTTGTTCCTAAATTTCTTCATTATTTTTCTAAAATTTCTGCTTTATCATTTTCAAAAGAGACTAAGGATGTAAAATCAAAGATAAATTTAAAAAAGAAATTTGAGGAGGAATTAAGAAAAAGGTTAAACTGAGACAAGCTCATAGTTGAACAAGGAAAGCTCATCCATTCTGGTTCAAATCATTCACTTTCTCTGTCATGTTTATTTTAGTCAGATTAAAAACTGATAGTGAGAAAACTGAAACTTTTCTTTGATCTTATAGCATTCTCTGATCATTGAGTGATTAATGAAGTAATAAAGAAATTCTATAGAACTTTGATGTATAGTTTCATTATTTTCCCTCAAACAACTCAAGATGGGAAATAATTATTGCATTTTAAAAATATCATATAAGATTATGGGAACTCTTTTTCCTGGGTCATAATTTGACAGACAATGAAAGCAGGAATTTCACAAATAGCAAATTGTTTGGTAACAGGTTCCAATTTCCCTCTTTTGACTCTTTTAAGAAAAAAGAAAAGATTTTCTTTTTTTAGTAGACTATCATGCAACCAAATGAAGACTCAAAACAAATGGTATCTTATCTTGAGGAGTTAAGTGTGAATGATTCATTCTGTAGCATGAAAGCTTTTGAAATAGAAATGTCAAGTAGATTGCCTACATACAGGTCCCAAAGCTTAGCGTCAAGGCCAAATGAAACAAAAGGGGCAAGAATGGATGTAGGGAACAAAGAATGATGGGCTTATTACCAGGGAAAAACCTCCTGGATTAAGACTGATTTTTGTGGGGCTGGAATTTTAAAGTGGTTCAACTCCTTGATCTAAAAGTCAGACCCCAAGTCTTAATGAGGTAGATTTTTGGCATTCTATTATTTCCCTTTTCCTAATGAAGAATGACTCACATTTCACTTGGTACACAAGGGATGGATGTGATGGAACACACAGCTCATTTTCCCTCCTGCCTGGCATGGGGAGAGCAGGCGGTGTGGGTGACCTAGCCTGCCCCTCCCTCACACTGATGGGATTCCACTGAGACTGGTTGAAGTTTAGCGAGGAAGAAAGGGTGAGCAGAAGAAAAGTTTGAGGAGCCAGCCTGGGCCTGTGTGTGTCGGGGGTGTGTGTGGGGGGGTGATGAATATTTTCCCCAGCTTATTGCTATATTCATTCTGTTAAATTTTTTTCTGAATGTCTACCATTTGTTTAAGTTCAGGAGGTTTTTCTTTTCAAAAGATTATTAGTTTATTTTCTTCTACAGCTTTATGGTTTGAATTTTTACATGTTCGAGTAGAGTGGTCACTTGGCAGAATGCAGGCGTGGAGAACACCAGCTGCCCTGGTCATGGATAAGAAGTAACCAAAAAGTAAACTGAGACCATTTGTGAAACAAATAATAAAACCACACATTCCTTGATGCTAGAAATGAAAAAGAGAGAGAAGGAAGATGGCCTGCATTTGATTACTGGCATCAAGGCTTGGGATCCATGTGGACTTGGTTAACCTCTTTTGACCCCAGCTTCCCTATCTGTAAACGATAGCACATATCACAGTTAAATCAAATAATTTCTGTTAAGTTTTTAAGGAGGGCCTCCTACTTAATACTCAATAAATGAAAATTATTATACATATTATTATTGATAAAAAGCACCATGTAAAACTTGATATGCTTTTTGGGGGGGTCATATAGCTAAATAGCACTACTTGTAAAAAAATCCATCCTGTCTTCATTGTATTGAGTGACTTCAGCCTGTATTATATTCCTGTGTACTCTAACACCTATTTCTGGCTTTCTCCTTGTTTTTTCATACTATTTGCATCTACACTACATTGTTTTAAATATTGTAGCTTTATAATATTTAATGGTATTATATAGGAAGAACATATGTGTAGACATGGTTCTTTTTGCCAAATGGCATGATAATTTTCTTATTCCTTTTCCCCACATGGCTTTTGGAGTTATATTAAAAATTTAAGTTGGATATGGTAATACATCCCTAAGTATACACTTTGATAAATATAGGAAAATTTTACTTGTACTGGCAATGTAATGGATATAATTTAAAGCCTTTGAGTTTTAGGTAATAGAATACCTTGGAAGGCATCTTTGCACACAACTATAATACCAACACTTGATAATTATGTACTTTGAGTGGAAAAAGAAATGATGTTGGGATGCTGGGGATAGGAACATCAAAGTGAGAATTTATTAGTGAATCAAATGCAGGTCATCAGTACTTTTAGGGAAATGGTCACTATACTGTGGTCACTATACTGTGGTCTCCTGAGGTATATGTGTTTTAAATGTAGTAGCCTTAACACCTGATATACATCTCAGGTTTTCCCACAAATCACAGCAATTCTTACTGATAGGTAAGATCTTTAACTATTGCAGTGTGACTATTTTTCTGGATAGTACTAATGAATTTTAAAACTAACCAATGGAATTTTTTGATGTGTTTTAATTACAAAAAATAAATGCATTAAAAATACTAAACATTTTATTCATTTTGCTTCAACTATTATAGCCATAAATTTATGAATAGAATATCAAAGTTTGTAACTACCAATGGAATGAGTAATTTTACATTTTAACTGCATTTTTCATTCTAAAATTAATTATAAATGATGAATGGCAGAATATCTGTGTAAACACTTGAATGTTTTTTTAAGAATGGCCTTTTATTTCTATTGTGCCAGGGACTCAGGTTCTCTGATAAAGTGCTGGTCAGGGATATGAGCTGGAAAAAATTGAAATCTCTTCTAAATTGTACCTATGGCTAGTTGTATGTATAAACCAATTATTTACAAGACATTATATACATTGCATAACATTATTTTAAGTATAAAAGAGCTCTATGGAATGTATTATGAAATTCCTAACTTCATTGTTTTATGAGTCCTGCTGTGAAAATTTGAAAGTGAAGTAAATACCATCTGGAAGTTCTCAGAATTCAGAAGGCGTCTTTAAAGAACTCTTTATGACCATGTGTGAGGATTCTAAAAAGACTTAAAATGCGTGGTAGTGGATTTTTCATTTGGATAAAGGATACTGCTATTGGTATCTTCTTTTTTAAATTATGAGATATTTTAGGCATTCAAAAAGAGCATGAAGAAGGATATAACAGTATTATATATATTTACCACTTAGTTCAAGCCATCAATCCTTACAAATATAACTGAAGAGTATGTTTGTTTTTATAGTAATAAAATCATTAGTTTAAAATGAATTTACATGTGCTAGGGAATCACCTTCTCACAAACTTTATTCCTTAATAGATTCTCTTCTGTTGTTGTGGCTGCCTTAAAGATGTCAACTACATATTGTTGGCAAATTGCTCCACGTACATGTTGCCTGAGCCACAGCCCACTAATAACCAGCAAATGTGTGAAGCAATTCTAAACAGCAGAGGAAAGGTTGTTAACGTTTTAATTTATTTGAAACTAGTAAACAACTCTTCTGGATACCAACTCTCTTGGCTTTTCTTTTCGAGAAAAATGCCTTTCTAGACCTAACTGAAGAACAAAAGGAAAGACCGAGTTACCTGTCGACGCTGAGAGCGCAGAGATTGAGGACGGTGATTCCCACTGAGGACTTCTGCAGAAAGGGGAACAGCTTGCAAAGAAAGACGCCAAAGTCATTGTGGTCAAAGGGCCAGCGCCCAGCCAGCAGCTAAAAAGAGATGTGGGAGTTAGAAGTGGCAGAGCTGGCACTTATATTTCTAATCACACGAACCGACTTCTAAATTTTATTCTTTATTTTACTTTCCAATAGAGTATCACTAGCGTTATTTTTTCTTTGGTGTTTTAAAGACTTAGTAATTTCTCGTCTTGAAAGATAGACTATAATCTGTTAGCACATAATTATTAACATATATTAAATATAAATATATTAACATACTTAATAAATGATATACTCATGTGCGACATATTATATAAAATAGGTATTGTAGATAATTACCTTATAGATGATCTGTAATTACCTAAAATTATCTATAATAACCTTAGAGATAATAGATAATAGAATGTAATAACAGAAGAGAAAAACTTTTGCTCTCAGATGAAGGAGTCATGCTGCCTATTTTTGAAGAAGTAGCAAAAGTTTGGGGGTTTGGGGTAACAGCTTCACTGAGAAGCAAGCAGAGGTCTTTCAGGGAACCTTACAAGCCATGAGGAAAACAAGTAATTTCAACCAGTGATATTGGAAGATATTATCTCCCGACAAATAGCCAAAGCAAAAATGACCAAAAATGACCGTGAAAATGAAGTGTCTTTGGACGTGGAGACTTTGCCAGCTGGTTAGCACCAAAACTTAACTTCCCATCAGTGCGTAAGGAGATGACTGCCTCCTAAATTTGATCCAAGTGGTCACTGTGATTGGTTTACAGGAAAATCTACTCTTTCATGTTGATCATTTAAAATCTGGGTCCCAAGGCAAGGGTGCCACTCTCTAGTGGCTGTGGTAACAGGAACATAGTAGCTAGCCTACTGTCCCCTGTGACTTGCTGATATTTATCTAATTAGGTATTATATTAGGAACATGGGCTTAAATAATTTCTGTTACCTGAAAGGAGGAGGGACATCCTGCTGAATATAGTTTGACTTTTCAAAGGTTAAAAATGGTATTGATTTCCTTTCTGATTTTTCCTCAGTGACTCAGCATTTAAATTTACTGTATTGAGTAAGAGAGTATCCTACTAACTTGACAAATAACCCTTTTTTTTTTTTGGCAAAGTACTTTTGCCACACTAACTCTAAGGTGAGCTTGAATTTCTGTTCTACCATTTCTGAAAGATTTTCTGAGGTTTAGTTTCATGGTCAGTGAGGTCATTAACACGAGCCCATGGAAAGAGGTTGGAAAACCAGTAGCCTACAGATTCAAAATCACAAGCTTCAGCATTTTGAGACTTAGTAACATAGGGCTTTCTATAATTCTGATATTATGGCTAAGAACACATAGACCTTGATTTCACAGATGTTCCCCTTTTTGATTTTCCAAAAGGTTTCCCTTTCTTTTGAATATTTTTCTGAAAGAAACTTCTCCTTCAGTTAATCGCTTCTGGTCTCTTCCTCATCTCACTATAACTGGTCTCAATTGGTGTATTCTCAGAATTTCCACATAAGCTTTTGTCCAAGGACAAAACTACCAGGCTCTTTATAGAACCATTGCCCTAACTTCTGAGGGTTTTCATGAAGTTAATAAACAGTTATAACATTGGTGACTGCTGGTTATTAATGCCTAGTGCAATAAGAAACAAGACACAATTTCTGGGATGAATCACTCCTATAAAGACAAGAAAACTTGAAAAAAAAAATGACATTTTTTTAAAAAACAGAATAAGAGTTTAGTATTTTGGCCCAGAACTATAATTTTCCACCGAAGACCACAGAAATGTAATTAGAATGTGTAGGAATTGTTATGGGGTATTCTTTAGAAAAACTGAAATGGTACTGTTGGCTCACTCCCAGAGACTTAAGAGGATGGTGAAATCCACATGGATGAATTTCCCAATTTACACATCCAATAATGAGGGAGAGAAAAAAGGATGTGTCTTTCTTAATAAGGGAGACTCTGAAATCTGTGAAGGTCTAAGTGTCAAGTGCTAGGAGAAACCATAACTGAATGTGGATTGTTTCATATTCTTCCAACCTCAATTAAATTTCTTCCATTTTCATGTTTCTTTTAACTTTTAATAATAGTTAGGTTGGGGTTAGGCATAAAGAAATGTCACTAAAACACATCAGGGAACTAGAGAGCGGCCAAAAGATGGTGGGATTGCCTTTCTTTGATGAAATAGAGTTTGGTGGTGGTGGGGGGTTATTTTTATTTTCCCAGGAGTGCATTGATTCTCCTTGGGAATTCTAGACAAGAGCATATGAAATCAATCCCTGGAGGGAATTTTTAGGTGACATCATACTGCACTAACCTAACTTAAATCCCCTGCATTCTGTAAGGATAGTAACTGGTCCAGGTCCTCCAGGAGAATATTAGGCCCCTCCATAAGCAACACTTCTTCCTCTCTGTGCCCTTCCTCATCAGGGGTCCCTCTGTGGTGAAGTGCAGTTTCCCCAACAAGGCCCTCTGCTGCGGTTTAGATTGTCAGTGTCCCTCCAACAGCCCACGGCAGTACTGGGAGGTGGTGGGACCTGTCAAAGCCTGGGGGCCTAGTGCAGGAAGTTAGATCACTAGGGGTGTGCCCTTGAAGGGAATAATGGGACCCTGGGCCTTCCTTTCCTTCCTCTTTGCTTGTCCACTGTCCCCAGTTTGCTGCTGCCATGTATTCCCACCACAATGTGCTGCCTTGCTACAGGCTCCAAAGCATCAGGGCCAATGACCATGGACAACCTCCAAAACCGTGAGTCAAAATAAACCTTTCCTTGTATGTGTGTGTGTGTGTGTGTGTGTGTGTGTGTAGGTTACTGAGGACTAAACCCAGAAGTGCTCTACCACTGAGCTATATCCTTAACCCTTTTCACTTTTAAATTTTGAGACAGGGTCTTTCCAAGTTGCCCAGGCTTACCTTGAATTTGTGAATCTTCCTTACAGGCATGTGTCATCACACCTGGCATTTTTTCCTTTTGTTAAGTTGGTTATCTCAGGTGTTTTGTTACAGTAACAGAAAGCTAACACACCTTCTTTAACTGTTCAATCTTAAGTAAACGTTAGTTAATCTCTTTCATGGAATCAGTGTTGGAGCAATCTTATATTTGAAGTCTCTTTTCAATTTATTCTGTTTCAACAATAACACAAATATAAAAGAAGGGTAGACTTCATGGAGGCAAACAGTGTAGCTTGCCTGTTTTTCTCTTAATTAGAAGAGGCATTTTGGAGCTTCTAAGACTACTGGAATGCATCCTTTCCATTATTTGCTACACTTAACACGGAAAATATTTGAAGTTGGAAAAATTAAGCTGTATACAAATTTATATCGTGAAAGTATATCTCTCCCTATTAAGGCCCTGAAACTTACTGCCCCATAGTAACCACTGTTAATGGCCAAGTGTTTTCTTTCAAAAAACTTCCTAGGCACATAAGAACATATGCATTTTTTTAAAAACAAGTGGGAACATATGGAAATAATACTTTTAAACATTAATTATGTCTTTTTCTTAGAGTAATTTTATGGGAAGCACTACTACCTATTAAAAAGTTTCAATTTTAAAAAGTACACTTATAAAACAATCAAGATATGAATTCATAAATTACTATTTGGGGTCATGTCTAGACCATGGCAACCAACTAGTTAATTTCATTATTATCAATTTAATGAAAGAAAAAGCTTGTCTGACAAACTGTCACGTCAAACTGGTTATTCTGGCACCTTGGAGTAGTCATGGCTTATTTTGCCATAAAAGATATAGCCTTCATACTTGTCTTTCCAAGGATGTCATGCAGTACCCTGCACATAGTAGGTGTTACATAAATTGAGAATTCTAATTCACAAATGACTATTGGACCAGAGCTTATTAACCATGGTAATTTTACCCCAAGAGACACTTGAAAATGCCTGATATATTTTTGTTTCTTACAATTAGGAGGAGTACTATGACATCTGGGGGTTAGAGGCTAGGGACACTGCTAAACGTCTTGCAGTACAGAAGAAGGCTCCCCAACAAATAACCATTCAACCCCAAATGTTCATTGTTTCTGAAAATTTGAAAAACCCCATTCTTGACCAATTAAAATTAAATTTGTGTCACAAGTATTTGGAACACCAGCATCAGCAATTTCTAAAGCTGCCCAGGTGATCCCAATATGCAGCCAAGTTCTCTAGTCATGTTCTGGAGCAAAGAGGTTCTCAAGACTACGCAGCAGCAGAGTCACGTGATTGTCAGCCACGTCCCTAGAGTTGCTGATTGGGTGGGTCTGGGACGGGGCCTGAAGTTGTGCGCTTCTAGTAAGTTCCCAGGGGGTGCTGAGGCTTTTGGTCCACCAACCTTGCAGTGGGGATCACTATTCCAGAGGCACCACGATCAGCAAAAATGATAGCTGAGAGCCAGGTAGTACAGCACACACAGAAAGAGTCTACAATATGGTCATAAGAAAGACATAATTTTATTTTCTTTTGGTACTGGGGATTGAACCCAGAAGCATTTAACTACTGAGCCACATCCTTAGCCTTTTTTTTTTTTTAATTTAGAGACATGGTCTTGCTATGTTGCTTTAGGTCCTCACTTAGTTGCTGAAGCTGGCTTTAAACTCACAATCCTCCTGCCTCAGCCTCCTGAGTGGCTGGGATTACAGGTGTGTGCCATCAGGCCTGAATAAAGAAATAATTTTAATAGTTTGGGGCCAAGTAGCTTGCATTCATTTCCCTCACACTCCAGCAGTCTCTAAAGACATCATACACAAAGTTACAGTCCAATATCAGGCACTCTAATGTCCCAGGCCTCACCATCTTGACACTACTTGTTCTTTCCCTATACCCAGGATAGGTTGTAAACTCCAGAGACCGAGGTGAACTATGTATCTGTGGCTCTGTGACCTTGGACAAGCCACTTATCCACTGTGAGCCTCTGTTTCTGTATGAGCAAGGAGGGGTTGGTTCTCAGAGCTGTCAAGCAGGACCAAGCGAATGAAAAAGTTCTGAAAACTGTCCATATATCATGCAAGTGTTAGTTGTTTTGAACTGCTATAATTCATCATCATAAATGTTCCATTTGTGTATGACT